ATATATATATATATTGTAATGTAAGAAACAAGCATTAAAAATATATAATACTACTTATTATAAAATTTATGTGAAATACAATATATACCTATACGAAATCTATTGAGTTCTAATGATAGAATTGTATTGTAAATATATTTTATTAAGTGTTATTTATTAGAAATGTGAGAAATTTCACAATTATATGCACCAACATTACCATATATCACATAAAAATGAAGAAAGAGGATATGGATATAAATGAAAATTTTAAAACATGATATATTCCATTNNAAGAATATTATATAGGAAAATATTATAAAATGTTGTTTAATATACAAGGATATTATACGTATTTATTATAATTATTATTATTAATTTAAGAAAAACTATTCTTACCATATATATTTTAATAAAAATATTTTGTTATTTGATTTAATGTGTATCACATTTCTTATATTTTTATGTTTTTTTAAATTTATTTTTATGATATATTTTTACTTTAACGTATAGACATAAAATTATAACTATTATAGTCATAATTTACAGAAAAACATTCATTCAGCAAAATTGACCTCTAACATTTGTAATATTCATCAGAATAATAATTACATTTATAGATCTATGTATAACGTTTTTATATAGATATTAAACGATTATATAATATTGAATATTCTTAAACATTAGAGGAATATATATTGATGATATATGATTATTAAGAATTACACCATTTATATTTAGGAAATCCCAAAACTATGATTATTATATATTACATATATTTCATATACGGATGTTTCACATAAATATAGTGTGCATTTATATATTAAACATTTTTTGCGTCTACAGAATCTTTATAAAATGGGTTAGTATCTAACATAAGTGTTCAATATGTATTCCTTATTTCTTTCGATTCGTCATTCTATATTAGTTTAGGATTTTAGTAATTTTTTATTAAATTGAGTAATGAAATTTCTCATATGGTTATATGTATTTAGAAAATATGTTCCTTTTTTTTATACTTTGAAATTTTTGCATAGCTCATATACTTTGTATTTAAGAAGCTTGTACATGGAGAAAGTATAATAAACTCATTTTTATGCTATACAAGGAAGGATATATACGCATATTAATATTTTTTTAAAAAGATATGTTGTTCTCTTAGGGTGTCATATTTATGTACAAGCTTCTCATTGTATATAGAGTTCATATATAATAACTTTTTTAAAGAAGTATTTGAAGAATTAATTTTATATATAAAATATTACATTACAGAATATTTGCGCAAATTATTTATTTTGTTTAATGAATTTATCATAAAAGAAATTTCAATTTATAAATATATTTCTCTGTATTACAACATTCAATTATATCATAACAAAAATAATCCTAAAGATAAAAAAGAGCTTTATTTTTATAGATTAATAATCGTAATATTATTTATTTTAAATCAAATTTATCAATTAATATTATATATATGTGAATATATAGTAAATGGTTTCATAATTAAATATGCAAAATTTTCTGTATAAATCATATATACCTTTTTCCGCTAACTTAGTTGTGTTATTAAAAAATTAATATTTTGAATTTATAAAAATGTATAAAATTGCAAAGAAAATAAAATATGATGGGAATTAGTAATTATTATTAATATTTTTTATGCCTTAATAGTAAATATATAGTTCTATCAAAATATATGATTTTCAAATATTTTAACTATTAAACTAAATTATTATGAGTTAAAACGATATGTCCTTATTATATAAAATTGTTGTTTATATCATTAAACTTTTTGTGAAAAATGAGGACAAAGAAAAAACAAATTATATAAAAAAACATTATTTTTTACTTTACATGTTCAATTAGGAGCATCGATTTTTGTTTTCATTCCGATTTTTGTTCACATAATCAGATATACATTCCATGTATTATTATATTATACATTCAAAGAGTTTTATATAAAGTAATTATGATGAATGATTTTGATTAATATAGTGTTAATAAATAAAATATTATTCAAGTGATATTGGAAATAATTAATTCTTGAAAAATCTCCTTTTAAAATATTATATATATTCATTATGTTAGAAAACTACAGTTTTCGTTTATACTTTGTTTTCATTTCTATAAAAAGAGATAATATATGACATATCAATATACATAAAAATTTAAAATATAGTATATGAATACGAATTGCTTAAATAACTGATAATTGATATTTGTATATTACTTTAACATATTCATGGAGATCATAGTGTCTATACATTTCAGAAAGCAAATTTTCCACAAAATAAGAATAAACTTCACTTATATGAGTTAAATTAAAAAATATATTCACATAGAATATTATATTTATTGTAAGGTAAATGCATTCTCTATGTTAAATATTATTATATAAATTGTTTATTATAGTAAATAGTACTGATATACATTTTTGGTAATTGTTGATGTGTTTTAATAAGCTTATTTCATTTATTACGTAAAACAACCTAATTAACTACCGCATTACCATTAATAACTATATATTTTAATGTTTTATATATTTTTGATTAAAACATATATATCCCTAAAAAAAGACATTTTAGGAAACAATAAAAATTATTATTCTCTATTTACATTAATAACATATAATAGTGTTATATCTTTTTATTATGTTTATTCTATGTTTAGAATTATATAATTTTCATGTAGTGGACAAATATTACTCTAAATCAACGCATAATTTTTTTTTATTTTATCCTAAATCTTGAAAATATACTTAGTATTTTTTCCTTCATATAACTAAAAAATATATTATATGTTTAAGTGGTTACTATTTTTTTTGGTACAAGTAAAATTTAATCATTAGCAAGGTAGTTCAATTTTTACGTCCATGCTATAATTAAAAAAGCGATAAAAAATTTCTTCTTTATATAATGTGTTTTAATTTTTATAAAATCTATATACATTCCCATATATTTCATTGTTCTATCGAGGTATTCTGTAAATAAACATAAACATATAAGAAATGACTAAAGATATTGTACATCTTAATTATTATAATATAAATTACTACATTATAATATTATTATGTAACATTTTTGCATAAAATTAATAAAGAAACTTTTTGTAAATTATAATTTTTATCATACAAAATTTTTTATTTATTTATAGTATAAATTTGTAGGGGATTTTCCTGAACTACAAAAAATTATGAATAAAGAAAAAGGAGAAGGAGAATCGGTGTCAACAGGTAATTGTCGAGACATTGAAAGTAATGTACCTGTGAGTTTCAATTCCACTATTGTAACAATATGCAAAAAGGTTCTAGATTATATTGAAACTATACAAACTGATCACCGTCAGAATTTTATAGAATCTCGTTGTATATATTTTTATTATTGGCTATATGATATGTATGGGGAAAATAAGGATATAAAAGATATTAAATTTGTTTATCAATTCATGGTAAAACAATTTAATAATGATTACGGCGTGCAATGCATGAATTATGAACATATAACAATTACAAATAATGAAATGTTAAACCTAAAAGTTTTATATGATATGTATGCTAAACTTAATTGCATAAGTAAGAAAACTGAACTATCTGATAATGAATGTGAATGTGCCCAAATCTGTGCTGATAAATACATGGAACACAAGCAGACGTGTAAATACAACACTTTACCCTATTTCTGTAATACATTAGAAGAGTTTAAAAATAAATATAATAAACAAATGTCTTCTAGTAAATGTAATAATGGTTCCCCCAAAACATTACCTTCCTTACAATCCAATAATGTTATAACTCTAACAGTAATTCCAGTTGTTGTAACATTAGCAATATCTTCTTTTTTATTTATCTTGTATAAGGTTAATTATTATGTTATATGTGCATGCTTATACAGTAATATTATATATTTATGTAATTTAAAGTGAACAAATTTTTATAAAACAATTACACATTTTTTATAACAATTCTTCTTATTATGAGGTAGTTTATTCCATATGGTCGAAGTATCGGATATGAATTTATGAATAAAAGAAAAAAATATAATAATATTGATAAAGAGTTGAATATATCCCAACAATATGAAATATCCAGTTTTAATTTAAGAAACAAGGGATATCATATATTATATAATTTTCACTAATTTTATCATTAAATATATAATAAGAAGATAATATTATATATGAAATATATAAAAAGTGATGTAATATATATTTATAATGATACTTCTTTTAAATTATATAAAACAAAAATAATTTTTATTAAAGAAAAAATCCAAAAAAAAATATAATTTTTTTATAATTATGAAATTAGGAATCAAATAAAGCACTACATAGTTTTTAAGGTCTTATTCTATATTCATATAAATATAGAGTAATATATACTAAAAACCGTTTTTTTTTTTTTTTTAGCTATAGTGTATTTTTATTTAAAGGAACATAATTTTCTATATTATTAAATGCATAAAATTTATAAAATAATAATATAGAATTTTACCTAATATATTTATACATGTGGAAATTAAAACTTGTAATTCCATTGATACATTATATTGGATTTATTTTGCTTACTTTTTTTTTGTGTCAAGTTATATATTACCTTTTTTAAAATAATAATTAAATACAAATGTTTTTATATTTTATATAATATGTCGGAAAATAACTTTCTTCACAAGACTAATTATAAAAAATTATCCTCAAACATATATATCCTAATATGAAGAATTTATGAAATGTTGAACTCTTATATTACTTATGTCATATATTCTAACACATAAGATATGTATGAAAATATAATTATTTTATATTAGAAGAATATAATATTACAGTCTATATAATTATAATATTTATAAAACAAATATATAGAATTATATGTTTTATATAATAGTCACAGCTCTAAATTTTGTATGATTGAATAAAATCTTACATATGTATGTATACTCAATTTAAATACAAAATATTTAGATAATATTTTCAATATTAATTATACAAAAATAATATGCAAGAATTGAAAAATATAATAAATTCATATTATATAAGAAATATAAATAAAAAGAAAAAGAAATTCCTCAAATTAAGCACGTGACTATAATTCTTATTTTATGAAAAATTTGTACACGAATTAATATGATATGTCTACTATATTGAAAAAATTGACAGAGGTAAAATATATGACAAAAGATGATTATAACATATAAAAATATATGTATTAATTATTTCAAAATAAAATAAATATAAATTTTTTTTTATCATAATATATATGAGGGTTTAGAGTTTTGGTTTAATGTTTTAGCAGTATTATATTTTTGTCATGAATATTTATATATTTATAAAAATATGATTATGTCAATGAATTTTCTGCCCATTTGAAAAGTTATAAATTTTAGTTTTCCAATGTATTCGACATTATTATATAACTATGGAGATGTAATGTGTGATAATTGAAAGAACAGTGCAATTTGTACAATCTATCGCACCGTAAGGGAAACTGTGTAATGTGTTTAGAAAAAATATAAATCATATATGAATTTCTATATGAAATTTTGTCCATGTTATATTTTTTCAGTAAATATAATGAATAAATATAAATATTTTTAGGATAAAATATATAATTGTTGGAATATATTGTCCCTATTTGTTATTTCATTTTTTTTATAATGTAATCTCTGAATACTTATGAATTTATATCGAATGAACATATTTTAGGTGTGAGTATGGATTATATTTAATAATTATACAATAATGTTATATTTTCTTAAAAAACAATTTATTTTTATTCTGTTATTTTTTTTATTTCAAAATAATGTTGGATAGATTTAAAGATATATTCACTTATATATATTATATATAGAATTAAAACGATTTTATAATAAAATAACATTAGAAAGAAAACATGTGATATAAACCTATTTATATATTGTTATTATAAAGATGTGAGGAATATGATAGTTCTGTGTTGCCGTTGCTATTTAACAGGAATTAAATCGTCATGATTTTAACTATTATATATATTATTAATGAATATTATAATAGAAATTTCATCAATAAATTATTTTTATGATATATATATATATAAATTTTATTTGTTATTGAACATATACTTACACTAACCTTGTCAGCATACATTGTCTATCATGTATA